CATATGATGCTGCTAAAAAGAACATTATTTTGTGTATTTGGTGTAATGAAATGTGTTTATGCGGTTTAAGATTCAAAAAACACATTATTTTCCACATACTGTACATTATTGTTTCTCCTCTATGCCCCGCCTTTCTGAAACGCGTAGATTTTTACAAAGCTCATCGGTCTGAAAAGCGAGGTGTGCTGTGATTGGCCAGCTATCCAGTGCGTTGTGATTGGCCGAATACCTCAAGCGTGTGACGGAAATGTTACGCTCCTTACCATACTGTGACGCCGTGACCCGGCCGGAGCAACGAGACAAAAACATGAAAACCCATTACAAACGAGGCATTTGTTGGGGAACAATTGAAATCGCATCATATGACCCCTTTAAATGAAATAATAGTCCTACTGTTTCTATGTACTGTATAATAGAACTTAAATAGGGTGTGTGGATTTTGTACATAATTTTTTATGTTATTTAAAGGGTAAAAGTACACCCTGTATAAAAAAAAAAAGAAAGAAAAAAAAAAACAATTATAAAATGTAAAAGAATTGCTGCGATTATCACAACTTAAAACAAGTAATAATGCCTTGTTTTAACTTAGTGTTCAGGCTTGACTTAATTATTAGTTATCTTGGTTAAGTTGTTATAATTTTGTTATAATTTGTCTAATTTGAAGTTATAACTAATTGCAGCTGCATTTTGTACAGTGCACAAGCAACAATTCTGCAATTACATTTGTAGAAAACACTGGACTTTTTTATTGTCATGGACACACCCACTTGGTCACAACTACAAATAAAACCCTTTATCTCTGCAATAAAACACGCATATAGATGGCAAACCTAAAAAAAAAAAAAGTCATCTTGATGTTATTCTTGTTTTGCATGTCACCAATACTTCCTCAGTTATGCCCACTGATTCAGAATAAATGCTTGGGATGTGCAGGAAAAAGTGTTGCTCAGAGCCGCTTTGATACAACCTCATCTTTTTATTTGTATAATGTGTCACTGTCCCTGGATTTAAGGGTCAGGAGAGAATGCCTGATGCTGGCAAATGTGACTGAATATCCAAGTGTGGATGGCAGATAGTTAGGTGGGATTGTGTTTATGCAACAAAACACCTTTCCATCCAAGGGAATCATTTTAGGGATTCATGCTGCTGTTCTTTGATTTTTCAGAGATTTCAAGTGTTTTTTTTTTATATGCTAAATGGGTAAAACTGATTTTAGTAGTAGTTTGCGTATTCATGTGCATGTAAATGCGCTCACTGAGTTTAGACTTTAACCTGATTTTTCCAGCACATTAAAAGTGTTGCCAGTTTGTTCCTGGCCAAAGGGCTTAGTCCTTAAATTTCCATCATGTTCAACTGATATTTAACTGGTGCTTTAACAGTGGCCTAAATTTTCTCTCATGGGAGTAGTTAAATATTGACAGCAACCGCAGGCCATATATGGTTAATCCTTTTTCTCATTAACTCCACTTTAATGTTAAAGGTAAGATTGGAAGTCTTACTAGGATAGGAACCATTATAGATCAGATAGATTGTAAATGTAAGATGGACAAGTTAGAGAAAAATGTCTGTGCCTAGTACCCTACACTTAATATTTCATACCAAAGCAAAAGAAAAGAAAACAAACAGAATGCTTTAACATAAAAATGTTGCCTTAAGAAGAGTGAGTTAGAATCAGTTGCTTATGTTTAATATCAGTAGTTCAAGTTTGCGTCTCCTGAAAGCATTGTGAGGTATAGACTGATATGTAGATGGAATTATAGCTCAATTGGGAAAGTGACCGGTATGTCAAGAGCCTGAAACCAACTGTGGGGCCATTTTGAATTTAGTGGTGCATACTATCATCTTGGCTAATATAATCAATGATATTTTAAAAGTGATCTCGGTCTATAATTGTGCCTTTTACCATACTTTTAGAAGTTAATGAGCTGCATCAAAATGTACAGTATTTTTAGACGTTTAAATTTTGTGATATACAAAAATTGCATTTAAAACAGGGGTGACAAACTCAGTTCCTGGAGAGCCACAGCCCTGCAGAGTTTAGCTCCAACCCGAATTAAACACACCTGATCCAACTAATCAAGTCCTTCAGGCTTATTTGAAAACTACATGGTATGTGTGTTGGAGCAGAGTTGGAACAAAACTCTGCAGGGCTGCAGCCCTCCAGGAGTTTGTCACCCCTGATTTAAAACATTTTAATTTTTCTGTTGATAAATGATTGAATTTTTCTGTATTTTGTAATGTTCCCTGAGGTCCACCTTCATTGTTAATAAGATTTTTTGGTCACACTTTAAGGTCCAATTCTGACTACTAACTATGACCATTGCCTCATTACTAAACTCTTAATTTGCTGCTTATTAATAGTTAGTAATGTAGTTAAGTTTAGTTATGGGGTAGGATTAAGGGATTTAAAATATGGTCATGCAGAAAAAGACAATATGTACTAAAAACAGCCATCATGCTAGTAATATGCATGCTAATAACAGCCCTCTACGCACACCTTGGCAATATAATCGCCATTGGCTAGTAAATTTTTTTGTTTACTCGCCAGACTGATATACTATTTTACACACACACACACGTTTACTTAGCTATCTAAATGGGGACATTACATAGTACTATTGTGTTTATATACAGATAGTTATACACTTTTTAACCTAAACCCACCCCTACCCCTCACAGAAAACTTTCTGCATTTTTACAATTTCAAAAGTAAAAAATAAACTTGACTTTATTTTTATAACAGTTTTACAAATGAGGACATCCACAAATTGAGGTTTTTGCCGATTTTGTCAGGTTTTGCTCACTTTTGGGTACAAATTTGTCCCCAAAATATGGTTAAGTAGGTACAAACACACACACACACACACACACACCACATGATTCCACCCAATCAGCTTATCTTTGTAAAACGGAACAGCTTCTTAAATAACTGAATGTGCACTCTTAACTTCAGCCAATCAAGCATTATATTATGATAATTAAGCACTATTTAATGATATGCGAGTGATTTACTCGCAATGTAGAGGGTTGTAATAAGCAACTACTAATGCTGCGTTCAAGTCTGTTCAAAGACATTTGTACTTACGAGTTGACAAGTCGTAATTACGACGTCAGGTGCGTTCAAGTCACTTTAGTCGACACAAGATGGCGGTGTACCTTCTTTTAATCTCTCAAGCGCTCAGTCAGCGTGTTTATCGAGTGAAAATCTTTGTTGAACGCCTCTCACACACATACTGGCGTGTAAAATCTAAGAATCTATTAGCCAATGGCTAATGTTAGACATTATTTAGTCGCCCAGAGTAAGATTTAGTCGCATATGCGAGTGAT